CAGTGTCTGCTATTAAGAGTAAGCCGGGCATAATTCAGGATGCGATTATTGAAATCACAGTGCCTGAAAATATTAGCACAAAAACCGTCGTAAAATTTAGATACATATATAGATTTAAATAGATAGATAAACGCATTTCACATCATTATTGCTATTTTTTTCTTATCTACAAATACAGTAACTATTCTTGTAAAATGATGAAATGTCGAAATAAATTGGTCAAAGGACTATTGCTATCTGTTAAATTTTAAGAAGGGAATTACACTATGAACTTGACTATATACATATAAATTTTCCCCGCATAAAGCGTGCACATAACGGGTTTTTTCTTTCAGTTGAATACAAACATGATAGTTATATCAAACACTTTACTGTGATGTGTGGGATATATCAAACACTTTTTAGCCTCTCTGATTGGCCGAGAGAAAACAGCTGTGGTCTAAGAATATGTATCAATTCATTACTCTATTTTGGTAAATATTTATCATTTGACAGTTAAAAACTGCTTGTAAATCGGAATTATCGTGTAAAATCAAAATGTACGCGCATCGCCACAGCCCATGTTGTTTACAACGTGGGGTACCCCATGGGGAAATTTAGTGCGTATATTACCCGTCTGGCTCGGTAATATCAATTTCTTTAGGGTGATCAATATCCAATCAAAAAGGCAGAAAAAATCTTGAAGTGTAATAAATGAACATATGTTAAACGAAACTAAAATGCAGATGTTATTACAGAGTAACTTTTAAACACATCATGTAACAAGCCCTACAAAAACAAACATGGCAAATATTACAAGTGTGGAACAAGTCTAAGTCGTTACATAATATGGATACTTTTATGGTCCCAAAGTTCACTTCGATATTTAACGCAAAAAAATGAATTTTCTGAACATTGGTCAAGTACAGACCGCCTGTTTTTTTCCTTTATAAGGAGAAATGTTTTGGTACCTGTGACTGCTTAGTGTATTCATTTTGAGGACATCAATACAATATTGGATTAAAATTTCAGAAATAAATAAACAAGAAATGTCGAATGATACATATGCCCCCCCCCACACCTTTCTAGCCCTTAACTCACATTATTGGTATATTCTGTTATAGAAACTTGCCATAAAAGGGTACATGGAAGTGTTCAGTTGTGAAAAAAAGAAAAATAATGAAGAGTTTGCCATAAAAAGTTTTCAAGATAATGAATGGAAACCATTCTGACATTTAAGGTACCTGTGACCTTTGACCTAGTGACCCCTTAATCAATAGGGGTCATCTTGTAGTTATGACCAATCACAATATGAAATATGAAGACTTTGTGATCAATACTTTATAATATAATCAGCGAAAACCATATGGTCTACCGATGGACAGACCGACAGACATTAGCAAAACAATATCTCTTCTTCGAAGGGGGCATGAAAAATTGCCTATATATCCTTTTAAAACATATAATGAGTACATTTCACAGAAATGTTTGGAATTATATAAATCAGTAAATTTACAGTTATTATTCATTTTTTTAACATCACACAATAAAGTACATGTAAAGTAAAATACATTTCAAGGAAATAAGTGAAATCCTAAGAATCAGAAACTTAAGGTCTTTATACATTTATAACATTTTTCACTATAACACACAAATTGCACCGAATGCTTCACATGATTCAGATTAACTTGCATGTCTTATATATTACACATCAAAACAATTGTAACAAATTAATACATATAAGTTAAACAAGAAGCAGTCAAAATCTGCCAAATCCCCTGTCTATAAAAAAAAATCGATCCATTTCATACCATGACATAATACAACAAATCAAAGGGCATTAACGCAAAAGGTGAAGGATAAAACACTGAAGATTCAAGATGATATTTCTGATTTATTTTTGTGTTGTAGCTTGGATAAAATAATGATACAGAACAGTTAATTGTGAGGTTATCATCCTAGAAGTTTGCACTCTTTCACCTCATGATTTTAATTAATAATTCAAATTTACTCTGCGATCTGATCAAAACTGTCCAAGCCAAAATTAATAAAACTCAATTACAAATGTACTGTTATTGCGCAATGCATTATCTATTAATGATTGATGGATGTATCGAAAGATAGATAGACAATTTAATTGATGTAAACAGTACAGTTTTTGGTCATACATTTGCATATACCTATACAACATAAAATTTAACATGTGATTTAACAAACAGTAAACACAATTTACATGGTCAACATGTTGTTTGTGGAGGATGAATAAGATGTTTACATATATATCAATACCCTACACAAAATCTATAAAATTCCATATTGGCAAATTTAACAAAGCAAAGACTTCCTAAGTATAAAAGCTTGATGTTCACTCTTAAAAAAATCTGTAAACTTTGTAACAGTTGCTCTCCTATAATAAAAAGGCTTTAATATATTGTTTTCTAAAATGTTCGTACAACATACATTATATATCGAAATGTTATTCATCTCCAATATCTGTTTTGACAAAAAATACAGAACAGAACAGAACATATCTTTATTAACTCAAGTTACATACAATACAACACATGAGTATACATAACAGTAGTGAATATTTGTTAATTTAACACATGACATGGTTTTATTCAATAAATTTCTACACAGTTCAAAAATAATTTAAGATATTTGTAAGAGGAAAATTAATTATTATCATTATCATGGGAGAATGAGAGATGAAAAAAGAAAAGAAAAACAACAAACAAACAGCTACCGCCTGAAGGGGGGTTGATACACACGCGCAAAAAAAGTATTCGTGTCTCGATGCCAGTTTGAAACGGACTATAGAAATGCGAAGGTGGTAAATAATACGTAATTGTTTACATACGGGCACTGTTACGAGGTCCCGTTAAAAAAGTTTGTGCACAAATTAGGTCAAACAATACACAAAATGGGAGTTATTATTGAATGATAGTGTACAGTTAAAATTCTACTGTACATAGTATTGAAAGTTCAATAATAATTAAATTAACGATGGATGTTGAGAGTGAACAAAAATATATTGTTATTCAATGGGATTTTAATCGAAGCAGGAATGGATTTACTTAGCACGTGGTTAAAGGTGAGAAAGTTCATTTTCTGAGTAGGCCTACATTTTGCAAAGAAAGCAGTAGTTCAAATCTTGGCTTGATTGCATGTATTCCATTGATAAAACGACTTAGGAAAACAAACAAAAACAAATAAGAAATTAGACATTGGCATACTGTACATATACTGATATACATGTATAAATATTAAAATGTATACAGATTGTGAACAGAACTGGTGTGCATGCATTATATATCTGTACATTGGACTCTTCTATCATGTTTATATATTTAATAAATGCTCAAACATGGATGAAGCACAAATTTGAAAGATTCTAACAAAAAGAAATTTGTTATATCTACTTATTTTACCATTTACAATAACACTCATTTCTTTCCACTCTGTTTCTAGAATAGCCTACAGTATCAAAAGCCAGTTTGTGTGAAAATAATCTTAGTTTTGATAAAGCATTTCTTAACTTGAATGGCAATATATGTAAATATGGTCCAAATCTAAACTCTGTTTTAAATTGCTTTTATATATAGCCTTAATGTTCCACATTCCTGAAATCGTTGGAACCAGTTTCGCCAAGCTATAAAAATTAGATGAAATTAAGCTGAATCAACACAAGATGTGTTAATTGTTCCAAAATCATAACAGTCCAACAGACTTTTTACTGGATATACATTTTGAAGATCCAACATTTTTACACAACATAGCATGTATGACTTTATGAACCGTAAAATATCAAAAGAAATTATAGTGTTGAAATGGAAAGACAATAATATGAAGTTCTCATACACTTTTTTCAAACAAAATTCTAAGTTTTAAGAGGAGATACCTCTTGAAATATAGATGAAAGAGTTATAAACCTTATAATAAACTAGAAATGTGTCCATAGGACACTGGTGCCCCCACCGCACCACTCACTGTTCTGTCAATCTAATGACTCTAGGTCAAATATTTTTTGAAAACTAAAAATCTTTTACTAAGTAAAGGGCAAGAACTTTACAAATACTGAATAAATCCACAAGCAAACCCCAAGGTGCATAAGTACACATGCTGACCAACATTTTTGTAAACTTTCAGGCCTTCAAGTGAAACACTTTTTGAGCTATGCATGAACAAGTTGAAAATTGCAAATTTATACTACTGTTACTCAAGGGCAATAACTATAACAAAACTGAAAGAAATCCACATGCAAAGTCCCAGGTGCATAGCTTCACAGTGATGTGAATCATTATTCCTGTAATTTAGTGATGTTGATCATTATTCCTGTAAAGTTGGTTGATTCTAACTCAAGCACTCAAGGATCAAGGAACAGATAACATAATGAAACGGTTTTTACTAAGTCAAGGGAAATAACTCTTCAAAAACTGGATAAATCCACAAGCCAAACCCCAGGTGCAAAATTTAATATGCTGAGCAACCTTCCCGTAAGGTTTAATGACTCAAGGTAAAATCCTTTTTGAGATACATGCGACACAAGTTGAAAATTGCAAAAAATTTCTAAGTCAAGGGCAATAACTCTAAAAGTACTAAATAAATCCAGACGAAAACAACCAAGTGCACAAATACACATGTTGATCAACATTCCTGTAAAGTTTCATGACTCTAGGTCAAATACTTTTTGAGTTACATGCGACACAAGTTGAAAATTGCAAAATTTTACAAAGTCAAGGGCAATAACTCTAAAAATACTAAATAAATGCAGACGAAAATATCCAGGTGCACAACTACACATGCTGATCAACATTCCTGTAAAGTTTCATGACTCTAGGTTAAATACTTTTTAAGGTACACAAGAGAACGGACGGACGGACAAGGGTAAATCTAAATGCCCGCAACTAAAGTGGGGGCACAATAAAAGCAATGAATAAGAGCATTTATCATCAGTGAAAAATAGATACTAAGAAGATAAATGTAAAATTCTAAGTTCAAAGTACACATAATTATTGAAATAGAAGCCCTTCAGATACAAACACTGTCACTGAAATGTCAATATTCAAACACAATTTTTTCTTGTTTTACGGATCAAATCCCTAATTTCCACTTCTGTCTCTCTGCAGCCTTCATCGGCCTCTAAGTAGGTTATATTCTTGTAACAGGCTACGATGAAGGCCAAAGCTTCATTCAAAAGCAGATAAGCCGAGTAATTGAGTGATAGTCTGAAATAATCCAAAGATAACTGGTGCTACATCATTTATATTATGAGTTTTATTATCGGATAAAAGTAGCATAATTAAGAGAAGTAAAAAATCAGCAAAATACTTATTCAGTGTTTTTCCAAAACAATAAAATAATTTGTAGTTAACAGAAGAACAAATGTACTAAACATACATAATTTTTACATCAACTTGTTTTCAAACTAAAAATGTATCATCACGCCACGGATGCCCCCACATGCATCCATAATTTCAAATGTTATGAAAATATAAAATTCCAAATTTGCTTGCACAAACCATTTTTTCATTCTAGGTCAAAGCCCTTAATTTTATTTTAGTGTCATGATTTTCTTTCAAAGAGGTTTACATCTTCATTTTAAAAATTTTGTAACATGTTAGTGCCATGGATTTATTTAATCTACAATGATGTTAAATTTAGCGATAAAAATTCTCTCATCAGTGATAATAAATGCAATTTTTTTCAGTTAAAAGGTAATTAATTGTATATCAATTTGTTTATTTTCTAGCTAGTATACTGTTATGCCAGTGTTTCCTATGTAAACAATAGTTAACATGACTAGTAATATTTAAAGGATAGCATTAAGGGACATACGTTTGGTTTCTGCAGAATAACTTGTACAGACATGAATTTGTCTGTACACACCTCATCATCTGGATTCTTAGTCCTGTTGCTGGATACCTGCAAATATAACCATAAAACTGATTTTTGTAAGTGTAGGTTATTTTTCATTAGTAAGCATTCACAAAGTAAAATTGCTCAAAAATGAAGCAGACACTTGACCTTTTTAATTTCGTAAAATGCTTACAAACGAATACTAACCAATTTAGTGTTAGAAATGCTTTTTTTCAAATCTTATTAATTATCTGGGAACATTCACAGGTGGCAGTATCGGTGTTTGGACACCCCACCCCTATCTGCCCCTGGACTCCTACTACAACCCTGAACAAAATAATTCAAAACGCTAAGCCTTACTATAATGTACTGAATACAAAACAACCGATAAAATTATATATTAAAAAAATTTCCACTATCAAAATTATTGTTAAGATAACTATAATTTTGATAGTGGAAATTTTTTTTATTTTTTTTTTTCTTAAACGGCCACCTGTGGGAACAATTTGATGTTAAGTTTGATTGAATAAAAGTGTTAACTATACAATTTGTTATTCTTTTTTCGTATGATAGAATAAATGCATGTACTTTGTATATCAAATCATTTACGTAAGTGGTTACATGTGCTGGAAATACAATGTTTAATCATATGAAAAAAGTGTGTAATGCCAAAAAATTGTGAAAATCAAACTTACTTTGGGTCCAGCATTTGAAACAGGAAATGCTTTTGTAAACGAAAACACAGTTGTTCTATAGTCTGAAGAAAAATATAATAAGATTAACACACAATTATACATTATAAAACGGTTAACAAGGCGTCCCATAACAATATTACACAAGAAATATGATGGAACATATGAAATTGAGACTGTTTGTTGTGTACTAAATTATCTAATTTTAAAAGAAGTTAGCATAATAGGTATTTTTTTCCAAAATTTTATAACAAAATGAAACAGAAGATATTATGTTTTACATGTATTTTTTACTTATTCTCCAACAAAAAACAAAATATTCATTTTGTATAGTTTTCATATTAAATTATCAAGTTTGGTATCAAAAGAATTTATTTTGAGAAAGAGTATCAATTTCATTAATAGAACCTTCTGCTAATATTGCTTGATTTATAAATTTTTACTTAAATATTATTCAAATTATTGAAAGCAGCACACCTCAAGTTTCATGTTAATTTTCATGAAAAATTAGAAAATGGGTTTAAAAGAATGATATTGTCAAGTAACCATAAAGAAGCAATTTGCGCAATATCTACGACACCTACAATCCATGTACCAAAAAGAGTTAAAATATGCTAAAATAGCCCTTACTGCGTTAGTGACGTAGTAGGAATATACTTAAAATTACTGAAATATCAGTCATTAATTGCCCAAAATATGTAAATAATTATTTGTATCTGGAATATTTTGTCCTTGACAGTCAAGGTCAATTTAAGGTAGACCATGGGTAATGGGCACCATAAGGAACTGTAAAATTGACAACATAGGACAGTTATATGTCTTCAAGGTCACCTGTATGCAAAATTTAAATAAAATTTACCGTGTGGTTTATGAGTTGTGGGTATATTTCTGAACTAAGACTTTGCCATTAGAAAGGCTTATTTTCAGAAATGAGGAAACTGTAAATAATCTGTAATATCATCATTATAAAAAATGTTTTTCTATTGCTCATTGTTAAGAAACAAAAAATAACATTCAGGTAACACATTACACAAGCAAAATGTTTGTTTCTAAACAAAATGTTCTTAATACGTATAAAAATGTTACCCTACCCCACCCACTTTTATCACTATTTTTACCATTTCCCTATCTAAAATGCATTATTCAAAATATCCCTAAAATTTATCGAAATGAGGGTCTGTTTTCAAAGTTTGCCTAAATTTTCTCAAAGGTATATTAGTTTATCATGCGAAATATAAAATACTTTTACCGTGTAGTTTTTATTTTATCGAACTTTGAAAATATCTGGTATCATATTTGCTATAAATTTTGGCATTATTTAGCAAAAAAAATACCTAAAATAATTATATAATTTAAATCAAACTTTTTTTCTTCCATAAGGGATCAGAGAGATACATAAATAATGTTAAAAAGAAAAAAAGAAAGAAAAAAAAGTTGCCCCTTCTGGGGTTTGAACCCACGCCCCTCAATTTCAATGTAGTTTACAAGCGATTCTAGCCTATTTGAATACTCTTCAAAGTGGAGGTAATGCATTATCCATGGTCTACCTTAAGGTCAAAGTCATATGTAAATCATTCAATATGTTTGTTTGGTAGCAAGTCTTGTTTAGTCCAAGTATAAATCAAATCCATACATTAATAACAAAATAATGACAATTTAACAAAAAATCACTAATTTTACCTTTATGGTCAAGGTAAGTAAAGGTCATTTCAACCTTTAATAACATCATGTCCAAAATGTTGTTTTGTCAAAGGATGAAGAAAATCAATTTATTTACCACCAACTTACAGTCAATTATATCATAAATCAGTGAAAATTCAATCATTCAACCTTCAAGGTCAAGGTCATAGAACAGCCAAATATTCCTGCACCAATCAATATTCAAATTATCTGTCAATTGTATGTATTGAAATACATATGAAAACCTTTAAAAGTAACTGTTTGGAAAGACCATGTATAATTCTGACATTAAAAAACATAAAGAACAGTACTTAAAACTTTTCTTTGTACTATTTCAGGTATGCTAAAATTATATTGATTTCCTTTTAATATCTTTAAAAAGTAATGTGCCTGGCATGCAAGTCATGTTCAATAATATGTGAAGTAATTTTTTATTGGAACAAATGGCTGATGAAATGGCAATGATATAGTATGGTTACTTACATATTGGACAGTAAAGAAATATAAAATAACAAGACAAAAATACAAGATTTATACAAATATACAGATGAAAAGGTATGTGAAATATAACAAATATGAACAACATGACATATATCTTACTTTAGGCTTGAAGTAATTGACGCCATAAGAATGTTTTCTCCTAATAACATTTGCATAGTTTTCATCAAATATGTGATGTCTTTGATGACTTTCTTTTTTGCTGTAGAGAAATAAACATTTTGCAAGCATATAATTTAATCATGGTGCAGGTAAATGTTTTGTTTCTTCATTTTTCACAGAAAATTCTTTAATAATTTGTTGTTGATATTTAAAAACTGCTACAACAGCTTCATTACATTTAGATATATCTTGACACAGAAATTTATATGAAATAATTATAAACAAGAGGACCATGATGGCCCTGAAGTCGCTCACCTGTATATAGGACCCCCAGGGCGGGGCCAATTTAAACCAGAGGGCTTTTATTTGAACAAAGTGGGTAAACACCCATTAGAAGATATTTCATGCTTAAAGGGACTCCACTGAGGTTTTTTGACAGGCTGGGACTGAAAATATTTTTTCCTGATATATGTACCATTTGATGTAGGTTTAGACCACTAATCTTTGTGCAAAACTTCAGATCATTCTTGCACTTCGTTTTCCCCGAATAATTATTCAAATTGTAAAAATATGACCCAAAATGAAAAGCGTTCAAACGCTTTTCACTCAAATCGGGCTAAGAAAAACATAAAAATACGATTTTCAATTTATTTCAAAGTATATTTCTTCACTATCTTTGCATATATTTCTGTTTAAAGTGCCCCAGCTCATTTATGTAATAAATTCAAATGTTATGTTTTTCGGCTTTTTACCCTACGTGGAGTCCCTTTAATATCTAAGCTCTAGCTCTTTGATTTAAAACTAGAACTGCCACTATCATGGCGTGAATACCCCCGCATACCACTGTGTCAGAATCAACAGTGGCCATTTAGAGCTCAAGGACAACCTCCCTGCCAAATCGGAGGTTACTAAGCCAGTGCATTGCTAAGTTATGTATTCTACATGCTTCAAATGTGAAAATGTCAAAATCAATACATTGCGGACAGGACATTCTTTAGCAATTGAGAAGATAGCTTTTTTTTGTCAAGGTCCCTTTGACCTTGACCTTTGACCCATGCCAAATATGAAGACTGTGGGTCAAAGGAATCTTAAGTTATAGGGCGGACAAGCTTTTTGAAGTCAAAGCCCCTGTTACCTTGACCTTTGACCTGGGGACCTCAAAGTCAATAGGGGTCATCTGCTAATCATGACTAACCTCCATGCCAAATATGAAGACTGCGGGTCAAAGGAATCTTAAGTTATTGGGCGGACAAGCTTTTTGAAGTCAAGGCCCCTGTGACCTTGACCTTTGACCTGGTGACCTCAAAATCAATAGGGGTCATCTACTAATCATGACTAACCTCCATGCCAAATATGAAGACTAAGGGTCAAAGGAATCTTAAGTTATTGGGCGGACAAGAAAAAACCGACGGACAGCCGGACGGACGGACGAGCTGATTCCAGTATACCCCCCTTACAACTTTGTTGTGCGGGGGTATAAAAAGATTTTAAGTTTTTACTTCACACATATTAGGGAAACAATGAACCAACACCCCCCCCCATCCTGCAGGTCCAATTTTTACCCCAGGATTTTTATTGGAACAAACTTGGTTGACACTCACTCGATGGTGTTCATGATTAGTATCTAAGCTCTAGCTTTTTGGGTTTTTTAAAAGATAAGGGGAGAAACAGGTAGTGATAGATGTGTACTCGACTGATGACATCTACGTTCAGCAGTATATCTGTATTTTCAAATCAAAAAGTCCAAATTTGTATAAAATATTTTAGTATGTATGATCAATAACTAATACGTAATTCACATATTTTTCTAAATATGCATTGTCTTCAGACTGCAACATTGGGACCGACCAAGATACCCTGGTATTTTTGGTTGTTTTTGCAGGTTTGTTAAAGTGTTACCCTCAAAAGGAAATATAGGATCATTATTATCATACATGTATGTTAAATATTTTTACATACCAGTGCTCTTGGTCACAGGATAATATCTCTGTCAAAAATAAAATGGTGTTTTCCCACTGAAAAAACAACAAAGAAATCTCCACATTTTTTTTCTTTTTCATTGTTTTCATGGACAGGTTAATCCACGATTTAAGTTAAATACACAACATCTAAACATAACATTTAAATCTATGAAAGTATAACTTTCTATAAAACCACTAATTTCATGCCCATGAAATTTAATGAATTCAATGAACTACATGGTGATTAAACAGATTCACAGTATATTCTTTGGTCAATACCCCTGTTGCAATGTACAAAATTACATGATGCACTGCTAAATGTTTCCAGCAATAACATATGCTCACAATAGATTTTGAAAATGTCAAATAGAGTTTTACCTGAGAATTTATGAAATTGACAGGTATAAACTTTTCATTCTGTCTGTCATGTCCATGAAATTCTTCCTCTGAAAAAGAATGTTAATGATTTTGAAACTAATTCTTTGAACTGATAAAAACTTTGATGTTTAATATTCATCCTAGATATAAATAGCTGAGTTGTGACTATGAAATATTCATTTTAAGTGCCAACACAATATCATTTATTTTTAAATGTTACTCGACAGTTATGAAAAGAGTATAAGTATTAAGGTAGTACACCCCTAATGCACTATCTCCACTTTGAAGAGTATTCAAATTGGCTAGAATCACTGTAAAGTGTATTGAAACTGAGGGGCGTGGGTTCGAGCCCCAGTTGGGGCAACTTTTTTAATTTCTTTTTTTTTCTTTTTAACATTTTTTTTTAATCTCTCAGATCCCTAATGGAAGAAAAAAGTGTTTCATAATAATTATAAATTTTTTATACGTATCTATGTACTAAATAATGCCAAATTTAATAGCAAATACGATACCAGATACTTTCAAAGTTTAATAAAATAAAAACTACACGGTGAAAGTATTTTATATTTTGTAAGACCAACCAATATACATTAAAGATAATTTAAGCAAACTTTGAAAACAGCCCCTCATTGTGGAAAATTTTAGGGATATTTTACAAAAGGCTTTTTACACATGGAAATGGTCAAATAAGTGTTAAAAGTGGGTGGGGTAGGGTAACATTTTTATACATATTAAAAACATTTCGTTTAAATTTTTATACATATTAAAAACATTTCGTTTAAAAACAATCATTTTGCTTGTTTAATTTGTTACCTAAATGTCATTATTTGTTTCTGAACAATGGGCATTAGGAAAACATTTTTCATAATGATGATATTAGATTATTTTGAGTTTCCTCATTTCTGAAAAAAGCCCTTCTAATGGCAAAGTTTCAGTTCAAAATATGTCCATAACTCATAAACCACACGGTAAATTTTGTTTAAATTTTGCATACAGATTACATTTAAGGCATATAACTGTCCTATGTTGTCAATTTAACAGTTCCTTATAGTGCCCATTAGGGGTGTACTACCTTAAGCAATTTATAGTTAAAATGATTTTGTATGCATGAACAATATTTGGTAATAATTTGTTCAAAATATTTACTTCAATATAATTCTCATTGAGATGAAGATAAATATATTGATGCAAAAAGTACAGTAATTATTAATTTATGTAATAACTGTCTTACCACTATCACTATTTGGTTGTTCTACAATTTCATCATTGGGTTGTTCATCATCATTTATAACTTCATTTATAAACTTTTCATTCTGTCTGTCATGTCCATGAAATTCTTCCTCTGAAAAAGAATGTTAATGATTTTGAAACTAATTCTTTGAACTGATAAAAACTTTGATGTTTAATATTCATTCTAGATATAAATAGCTGAGTTGTGACTATGAAATATTCATTTTAAGTGCCAACACAATATCATTTATTTTTAAATGTTACTTGACAGTTATGAAAAGAGTATAAGTATTAAGCAATTTATACTTAAAATGATTTTGTATGCATGAACAATATTTGGTAATAATTTGTTCAAAATATTTTCTTCAATATAATTCTCATTGAGATGAAGATAAATATATTGATGCAAAAAGTACAGAAATTATTAATTTATGTAATAACTGTCTTACCACTATCACTTTTTGGTTGTTCTACAACTTCATCATTGGGTTGTTCATCATCATTTATAACTACCACCTAAATGTATATACATAAATTAAATATCATTTGTATGGAAGGAAGCTATCAAAAGCAAAAAATAATACACATTCTAAAGCCTCTTTGAAATTCATTTAACATCACATAAAATAAATGATTAGGATATAGATATTTTAGTTCAATGTTGTTCTGAAGAAACACATTTCAATACACATTCTGTTCAATTATCCCATTACCCGATATACACGCCTTTTAATGACTTTTTCACCCCCCACCCCTTTTGTTTTTGTTGAGAAATGTGGTTTAAAAAAATGACCACTAAAAAATGACCCCAGATCGATCATAAGGTAACGTGTTACCAACGGTAAAAAAGCATTTGACTCTATCTCAATCCATTGAGAAGTTGCAGCACTTTGAAATCAATTTTGATGGAAAAAAATCGACACAAAATAGTGATTGTTTGGCAATTTTGAAATGTCCCCTAGTTGCCATGGTAACAGGAAATTTAAGCCTGGGTATATTGTTACAAAGGCAATGGTCCAGTAAACATTTGTGCCAAGTTTGATTAGTGTTGAAGCAGTTTTTATAGTTTTATAGCAATTTGAACTTGTGATGGGAGACTTCTCAATGAAAACAGCCATTTTTCAATGATTTGCTCATGAAGTAATAGGTTAATGTAAAACATTCTACAAAACAACAATTTTCCTTCAAATTTATATGTTAGGCCATGTTTTAAACATGGAAAAACGCGATTTTGGCTAATTTCAGGTATTTTCATCATGTTCTGTTAAGGAAATATAAGGTAAAGCATGTCAGAATTACGAATTGGTCAAACAAGTAATTAATTGACATCAGTGTCAGTGAATACAATCACAAGTACCTCACAATCTTTGCTACAGTAATTCTTCTGTGCATTGGCTACACCTATGCAGTCTGGGTGATACCAATTACTGCACCCTTCACATTGCCTGTATTTGCTGCAGGAAAACAATAACAATGGTCACACTGGCTGACAGTATATAAAGCTCAAAAGTAACATTTTAAAGCAGTAATGAGGCTCTGCACAGCAGTAATTTCATAATCCAGTTTGCACAGTAAGAATTAAAATCACCTTGTATATTACATATAACAATAATTTTGGAAAGATATTACACATACAATTAGTTTCATTGAGCACAGTTTTCTTAAAAAGGCATATGAATTTACCATTTCATTTATAATAGGTAGAATAGGCCGGTGTCCATGACCAACAGTTTAAAGTTTGTTGACTTTGCTTTCAGAAAGTCATTGGTTCTTAAATAGTAGTGCCTGTTACTGCCTGAAAAAGTATGAAGGGGCATCTGAGGTCTTCCTCCAGTAAAGCTTAATGATGAGATCTTTTCCAGCAACAGTAATATGATCATGCCTTGTTCTTATAAAGATGTTACTTAAACTTTTTTTTAGACAGACATGTGTTGTGATAATTACCGTGGAAAACAATACCAGACAAAGCAATGATTCATCTCTGAATTCTTTGGCAATTATTCATAACAATAATTAAAAGGGGATATTATAAATAAAAGTAACACACATATAACACGAAATTATAAATCTTGCTTATGTCTAGCTTGCTTATGTCACAAGACTTTTTTTAACTAACCTTGTCTTTCCATCATTCTTTTTGTTACAAACACAAAATTTTCGTCTTTTCTTCACGGAGGGATAAATGTAAGATGACATCCTTTTCTAAAATAAAAGCAATTTCAATTCAATTCTTGAAATATACAAGCACTTACAATAACATAACATTTTCAACAGTCTGTGATTTTATTGATTGATCTAAATTATAATTTGTTTGGGTCTTGATGAATACAAGATACATTACAACATTAAAACTATTATGTACATTTTGAAAACTAAAACAATAAATTATGTGATCAATATATACGATTAGAAAGTCATTTCAATATCATAAATATGATCAAACAGATTACTATTAATAAGGATCAGACCATAATGATGGTAGCTTAAAATCGAGTCGCGCTCATGCGCAGGAATCGCAAGCATCATATAAAGGTGGACAGATAATGAGAGATGGCGGAATGCGCGGAGAAGCGCAATATGACAGATTTTCACAAGAGGCATATGGCGTTATTGCAGCTTTGTGAAAAATTATACCAGCTATGAAGTATTGATACAGTATATTTTGTGCCGTAAAGTATTAATATATATAAATATGCGAATAGAATGCTGCGAACGCTGAGTAAAAATAAATTATTACCCGCGATTCCCAGATTAAGATAATATTTTTTACATGGTTTAAGTTTGCATTGAATTGTATTACATTTGTATTAATACACATAGTGCGAATAAATGCGGTACACATATAGAAAACTGTGACTTAGTACATAATAAAGTTGGAATTATTTCTTAACTATCATCTTGCTTTTATTTAGATACCGGTTAAGGAATAACTCCCACCGCCAACAGCATCACAAATACATGAATACATATTGAATGCACATACCTTAACTGGTTTCCTGCGTAAGAAACAGTCTTTTGTCCTGGATACCTTTAGAGTCTAAACATTAAAATTTAAAGACAATAGTTAAAATACTTATTTGCTTATTTGTTTATTGTAGAAACATAAAAAACACTGATCAGTAGTTTCAAGGCACATGTCAAATTACAAATGGGAAAAACATTTCCTCCATTACCCGTCTATTCTGCAAGAAGTGGTCTAATGAATATGTCCTATAGAAGCCAAAATATGAATAAATAATTGACAGACACCTTATATCTAAATAACGTTAAAATAAAATTGTAATAAATACAATAAGAAGTATTAAATAAACTTTGTTTCTTAAACAATGTACAAACGTCTGTCTGCAGCCACCCAGTCTAAAATTCAGTTTAATCTTTAAAAACAAAAACATTCTCTCTCTAATACCGCTTACCTGTTTTCTGCTGTAATGATTCTCCTACGACCCTGTTCAAGTGTCATTTATACACCAAGTTTACTTTTCCTAAAGCTTAACCATGATTGTTTTTGGTCAGAATCTTAAGTCACAAGTTAAGCCTCTAATGTCAAGTGTTACATATGCACTATTTTGTTAATAGGAGTTAACTTGTTAATTTAAAGTTTTCTAAATTATTCATCACCATCCATCCGCATCAGCCTATGTTTACAACGAAATTCCTAACAGCTCACACTTTACTCACTCACACATCGTCAGACGCACGCCCCACAGGAAAGCTTATGATTGTAACACTCTAGCTCGAACGATCCCTGGCGATTTTCAGAGTCTATTACACAATAGTAGCCATAGACAGACGTTTTCAGTTTGCAATCTACTTTAAATCCTGGACAAGTGCGCGAAACATATAGATTAAGAGCATCTTTTGCGCAAAACTTTCTACAATATAGACTAAAGTAGCAAGCAACATATTAGTGCTCCTTCAGAGTGAGAGTGAGAGCCAGAAATTGGAGAGCGGTGATACACTCACAAATTAAAGTTATTCATTTAACCGAGTTTGTATCCTTTGCACTCACACAACATTTCCCAAGAAAAAGGTCAGCTAGTACGGACGCCAAGCGCAAAGCTCGAGAGAGTACGTGAGCTTAGTCGTTCTTCTTCTTGGTGTTGAGTTAATACCGTTTCGTCCGTAGTGTCTACATAATGAAAGTCCAGAATAAAATCAGCCAAGCACAGCGCGCTCTAGAAGACAGTGAGAGTGCGTGCGTTAATAAATTCTAGGCAATAAAGTGTTAAATCTTAATTGTTATTATGTGCTCAAGTACATGGTAGGCGCCCGGTTTCTTTACGGTAGTAGAATAGCAATGATTAGCATCTGTTTTTTGGTTGGTTATTTACAACTGTCAATTGCACCCTTTGGCTCTCTAAATTTTATATAGTCGCCATACTTGATACATTGATGAGTGCAACTAAGTATAATCATAGAATATCAAATATACGAATATATATTCTAAGGAATTGTTCTTTAATAATCGATTTGTCAATGGTTAAGCACGGAAATAATAGTACGTTTTGAGTATTAAGGTTGCTTTGATGAATCACGAAAGAGCAGTATTGAAGTTCAGAAGCATATATTTAGTGCCTCCCAATGCGCAATGGCTAATGGCCATGGCGTGTTCTGTCTTCCATCAGTTCTTGTACATTGCCGTCATCATCAGTTTCGGTTCATATTATCTTAAAACGGTTGCAACACAATCAAGCTCAAATTTTGACATATGGGTACTGGTCATGAAGGAAATACACGGTCAGTTCGATATATTGGTCAGGTTCGATGATTTTGGCAGACGTTTATCGCCCCTTTACCGTTTGAACAAAAGTAGATATGAAGATTCTTTCAGTTTCCCGTCCGTTCATCTCCCACAGGTACACCAAATTGTATTCACTCAGGAGACTGACGAATATGGATAGTCATGAGAAAATACGGTAAGTTCGAAGTGTTGTCGTCAATTGGTTCGTGATTTTTGGGGGCAGGAGTTATGCCCTTTTAGCTGTTGAAGTAATATAATTTTTCAAGTCGTGATCCGTTCTGTATCTCCCAACGGTACAACACATTCAAGCTCAAACTTGACCAATGGAATATATCATGGAGCAAGATCAGGCGTCAAGTCGAATTTGGTCATGGTTCAATGATTTTGTGGGCAGAGTTGCCCTTTCACTTTGAAGTAATATGAAGTTTCTCATTTCCGTTTGATTATCTCCCCAATGAAACTACACATTCAAAGCTCAAATTTTTGAGCCATATGATAGTGTTTTTTTGGAAATGCCCAGGCCAAGTTTGAATTTGGTCCCATGGTTCAATGATTTTTGGCTAGAGTAAGTGCCCCTTCAAGCTTTGGAAAGTAAAATGTATGAAAATTTTTAAGCAGTTCCTGTTCATTATCTTACGCAACAGTGTTCATCTAGTTCAAAAATTTGAACATATGGCTATGTCAAGGCATGGGGCAGGTAAGTTACTTTATAATATTGTATGCCCCCGCCATGGGGTAATGGGCCATGTTCGGTCCCTTCATCATTCTGTCATTGCCGTTCATCATCAGTTTCCCGTTCATCTAATACTTAAAGAACGGTTGCAAAGCACATTCAACTCAATTAACATATGGGTATGTACAATGAGAAATACAGGTCAAGTTCGAAATTTGGTCATGGTTCGATGATGAAGTTTTTTGGCAGAGTATGCCCTTTGAACTTTGACAGATAATATGAAATGTTTCGAGTTTCCGTGTCATTGTCCCCAAACGGTAACACATATTCATCTCAACCAACCTGTGGCACATACTGGAGTATGTCATGAGAAAAGTACAGGTCAAGCTTCGAATTTTGGTCATGGTTTGCTGATTTTGGCAGAGTTATGCCCATTGTTAGCTTGAAAGTACTGATAGATGAAAATTTTCAGTTTCCGTGTGCACTATCTCCCCAAGCGGTACAGACAAGACCGCATCAACTTGACATATGGATATTCATGGAGAAAAATTACAGGTTCAAGTTCGAATTTGGTCATGGGTTCTTCAATTGATGTTTGGGCATGTAGT